AGGGCTAGTTGGCCCTTCCAGAAGAAGCCTGACTGTATTTTGAGGGCCTCAGCATCCACAGGGAGAAAACAGAAGAGTTTGGGTCAGGGAGGGCACAGGGCCAGTGTGACGCTGAGTAGGCAGGCAGGAGTGCAGGCTGCAACACAGGAGGGAGGCTCATCTGCTCCTGCTGTCCCAGGATACAGCAGCAGAACACTGATCCCACCCCAGGCACGAACAAGTTCCTTCTGGCTCATCTCATGCCTCAGGCAGCTCTGAGTGCAGAATCTCCCACTGCAAAAATCCCACTGGGGTTACTTCTCATAGACAGAGCTTACAGAAGGGAAGACCTACGAAAAAACTGATAAATAGCCCCAAACAGGAACATTTCTGAGTACTTAAATACAAACTTAATCATACACCAAAAAAAGAAAGATGATCAAAAAATGTTTATGGCCCCATGGAGCTCGTGGGTGGATTACTCTTGCTTTTTTGACTGTAGAAGTTCTTCTATGTACTGAAACTCATGCCAACAATTATGGACCCACAACACCCCCAGAAGACCCCAGATCCAAGCCCTGAAATGAAGAGGTGGCCTCTACCTCGACAATCAGTGTCTCGTTGGTGGGTCCAGAAGAGATTAAGTTCTCGGGCTTGCTATAGGACCGTCTGTAGTCGAAGGCAGTGCCGGAAAACTTGTATCGGCCAGGCCAGTCCACGGTCCAGTGCCCGTTCAGGTAGTATCTTTTGAGGGCGTTGCGTACAGAGATGTAGGAGGTCGATACGTTCATTTCATAGACTCGGATACTCCGGGCTCCAGAAGGAATGGTGACCACATGGTAATACTCTAGGTGAAGGGACGAGGGAAAACACAGTATTTCATTTAATCATGCCGAGGAAAAATCCCTTAGCAGCTTCAGTTCTCAGTAACCCAAACATGAGAATCCACACTTGGGACTAGGGGAAGATCTGCTTTGGCAACTGTTATGGGTCAGTTGCATCAGATCCATAAGCATTAATTGGAGTAGAGTGGTATCTTGTGATACCCCATTTCTAAGGGAGATTTTAATTCAAGTAACTACTTATGATCAGAACGAAAGGCTTAAGGCACAGCGCAGAGCTCCCTAGGGCAGGAGATGAGCCAGGAGGAGTTTGTTCAGGACTCTGAGCACCTGCGTCTCTGCTGCTGCCCAAGCTCCTCTGTCTAAGGAGCTCCTATGAAAATCTCCTACGCCCAAGCCTTGGGGTGGCTCCGAAGTACTCACGGTTGGTGTGGTGATGCTTGGTGTAGAGGCCCCTGTGAGTCGTGCAGTCTGAGTTATTCCCCCTGCAGACCCCACAGGCATCTTCAACAGCGTCAGACCCCAGGACATGGTCACAGCCAACTCTCTGGAGAACCCACGAGGTCACATGTCATTCATGAAAGAAAGGACAACACAAGCACTAATGTCACCAATCTCACCTCCCCACGAGGGCTGAAAATTTCACCACCTCAGGGTAGTTAGCAAGTATTTATTGGATACCCAGTATGTGCACAGAGGGACGGCAATGCCACTCTTCACGTCCAAAGCAGGGAGCTCTGAAGTGTGAAACAGAACCTGTCCTCAGCACTCGGCAGCACTGCTACACTCTTAGCACCTTGAGCTTTAGACCAGACCTAGAGGTCGTCACACTGGAGACCTGGGTGAATTTCAGATGGGCATAAAGGGCTACAAAAAAGTGACAAGCAAGGTGTCTACACAAGTGTCCAGTAAAACATGCCATGTGCTTTTTATTTTTTTATTAAGTCATAGCTGTGTACATTAGTGCTTTTGAACCATCTTGTGCCATGACAGAGAAGGAGCAGAAGACATACAGAGATTCCCCTCAGTCTCTGTGCAAAGGGCGTGCCTGTCCAGAGCCTCAGAATGTTAGGCATTCTTTATAACATCTAGGATGTTGTATATTTTTTATTTCCTAACAAAGAGAATAGACTCTCTATGGTAAAAAATCCATTCAGAAACAGAGTAACTATAGTCTACAGTCCTTTGCTGGAAATCGTTAAGGCCAGATACATTTCAGAACTAAGAGTATTTTCTAATTGAAGAGAGGATTATGAATCTAATTCATATGGGAGCCCCAGAAGGGCCTAGGGTAGAATCCCACAATAAGCTCAGTTATGTTTCCATGGCAGAAGACATGCGTTTTACACTATGCAGGATAAATGAAAACGATCAACGATTTCATATCCATTCAAGGCAGGTTTTGCCACCAAGCAAGTTAAGGTCCCAAAAAGCTTTCACAGCGTCATGGACTTCGGTTGTTTGCATTTCATTTACAAATAAGAGATTGTGACATTGATGATTAGTGGAATCATCACTGGACCGTTACACTAAGATCTCGGTGCATCGTTCAACAGTGACACAGAGCAACTACAACCAGGACCCAGGTCTTTGGACTCCACAGACTGTGCTATTCATTAACCTCATTAAGACCCCATTGTTTTCCTGCAATGCATATAATCTGGTAACACCTTCACTTGGCTGATAATAAAATTCTTTCCACACCTTGTTTCTGCCGATGGCAACAAGCTGGGCACATGATGCTCACTGTGACTCTGCCCCTTTCCGCCCACCTCCCAAGGGAAGTTGAGGCTGCTGGAGCATGTGGAGGCCTCCCCAGGAGCTGCACAGGGACCAGACTCTCAGCCACCCCTGCCTACACTGGCTCTCCACACAACCACCCAGAAACTGAAAACTGACCCATGGTTCCCAAGTCCCTGCTCTCAGTGGACACAAAGAAAAGTGTCCCAACCCCTCATTCTGGCTACGGAGTCCCTTGGAGAGCCTCTTCTCCCTGCAGGCACCTCCCTGAGCAAGCCCAGCCCCGCCTGCCTTCCAGGTATTCTGGTGACTAACCAGTGAGCTCCTGCCAGCCCTGCTTCTGACACTACCAGACTCTGGCCTCTTTTCCCCGCCACCTCGTCCAGATCTTGCTCGGATGCGATGATGCTGCCTTCTCCCAGGAGCCCTGCTGGTGTTCTAGTCCCACATCTAAGAAGGAACTGGCTCTTCCCTCTGCTTGTCCCCCATGTGCACCTCCACTGTGACAGAGGGCTGTGTCACCAGCCGTGCTCTCCTGCCTGTCACCCCAGGGGCTGTGCCTGGGAGGGGAGGGGCTTGGCAGCTCCCTGGGCCTCTCTAGCCCAGAGGGTGCCTGGCACGTAGCACACTATCTGGAGACATTTGTTGAACAAATGAAGGATCATGATTACCTCACATATCCCATCTACACAAACATTACGGCTATCCTCCGAGCATGGAGTCCCATCTTTGACTTTATTTGACAAAGAAAAGAAGAAATCAAATCCTTCTGCGATACAGTAGAGTTTGCATAAGTCCTGATCTTAAAAAGAAATACACACACAAACACAAATAAGAAAGATACTTAAAGCTCTGATCATTTTGTTCTGAATTTTAGATAGACTTCCCCCCGCCCCATAAAATAACTCCCATACAATAATATATTGAAATGACATTTTTAATGGTTGACTCATTAGGTCCCCCCAAATTTGTTGTTATTACTTTTTATTGCTTCTCTGTTCAATTTTACTCCACAGTACCCTTTACGATCCTTTTTACATGGTGGTTGGCACATAGAAGGCATTCAATAAATATTTGTTGACTTAACTACAACGTTAATGTTTTACTATTTTGCTAGTATACTTTACTGTTTTGTAGAAATATAAAAAGGTCACTATTGTAGCAATACATAAAACATGAATAAAATGTAATACAAGTCACTAAATTTCTCAATGTATTTGATGAAATACCTAAAATTTTTAAGCTAATAAAAAGAATAACTTTTAGATGAAATCTCCAGAGAATAATGTTTCCTATAAACAGATAGTTAAAAATATTGACATATGTAGAAATAGGAAGTTTAACTTCTTTCTTCAATAATCCATTTCAAGGTCTGATGGTTTCTATTTAATAGGAACTGTTGTGGAAAGCGTTTCCTTTCATTCTCCTCTTGATGGAACAGTTGATTTTTTTCTGCCTTATCAATATTAATAGACTAAGACTCATCTGCAGACATTTTCCTTATTGTTCAAGATAAGAAGATCAACTGAATAATTCTAAGAATCAAATTTAGCGTGTGATTCCATGATCGATGAATTTATTTACTGAAATCTGTGGACCCTGATTTCAACATTCATTCTACTTTTTCTTCCCTGTCTAATTGCCCTGCTGGCTTCATTTTTACAGATTTAAAAGTACAACCAAATGTGATTTATGTGGGATTACCTGTAATTTCCCTTCCAGAGTTTGGTAACATTGTAAACCATGAAAACATGACTTTGAGATGATGAAAGTCAGTGTCAGGGGAAATATCCCAGCTGCTGCACTTCAAGGTACCTTTGCCATTCTCTTGGACAATATTCCCAGTTTTGAAAAGTGAGATGATTAAATGTTCTTTAAATTTCTCCTTAGGTATACCACTTGTGCTACTGACCTCAAGTTGTTATCATCATGAGAGCAACATACTTCTTTCCCACTGGAGAGTAAAATCTTACATCTGCCACAACTACACTTCTTGGCTTATAGTTATAGACCAAGACTTCTGAATATAGTATGCTTGAAAATTGAAATGGTATTCAATTTTCCAAAAGGTACAAGAATTTTTCTTTCATTCTTTGAGAGTTAAGTGTCTAACAGATAACACACATGGAGCAACATCAGCATCAACCACTGTGATTCTAAATTTAAACTCACACATTGTTCTGATGTCAACACATCACCTGCTTTGTGACTTTCATCGCCTCCTGTGCCCGTCTCACTGTACCCTGTACACTCTCGGTCTTGTGTGTTACTTCTGACAGCACAGGGGTCAAGTTTAGAGGGGATGCCAGGACAAGGGGGCAGGAAAAACCAAAGCAACCACCAGGAGAAAGTGTGACGCTGACCCCTTGGAAGGAGGTCTAGTCTATCTGACACCACCAATTACCTAATTCTTTTAAAAGTAAAGATGATAAAGCACAAGGTGCAGAGCGGAGAGTGCTGGAGATTTACCTTCCAGATGGGTGTACGGCTTCCATGTGTAGTGCCGCCCTCGGAACCGCCTGCTGTTGTGCTCAGCACACTGAGCTGCGCGGAAGTCAGCACTGTCCTGGGGACACTTCTGACTGTTGCAAAGCTTGAGGGTGCGAGGTGAGCCTGTGCAAAACTTCCCTCCCTGCGATGGTCTGGAATGTACAATTCATAGTTAGAAATGTACAGTTTAGTAGCTACTCAGCCTGCCCTGGCAAGTGGGCTAACTGGAAAGATGGAGCTGGTAAAGTTAAAGTACTTAGAGTGGGTAATTTAGACAGGTAGGTTTCTGTGTAGTCACACACACTTTCTCATATGTGAATGAGACTGGTCCTGCTTCCTTTACTTCGAGTGTATCATTAACAACAGAGGCAGGACTGGTGGAATTTGGCAACAGATTGGCACAGACTTGTCCTTGTGTCCCCAGCTCCCATGGAGGAAGCAGGGTGGGCCCAGGTCTCCGCAAACTCCTTGGGGAGGAGGTGACTGATGAGACCTTGGACCCTGCCCCCAAGATGGCATAGTGGACAGAAGCAGAACTCAGACTGAAATTCAACAGCGTCACTTCCCAAACCTCAACTTCTTTCTGCTACTGGCCTCCGGGTGATGAGGTCAGGACCTGGGAACCGAGTCAGAAGAACTTGTCCCCTTTTGGTGGTGGGGACCGGCAGCCAATACCCTGCTCACCCTGAGAATCCCACATACACACCTAGGAGGGTATTCTAAGGGGACAGGTCCAAATGAGTAACATGAAGTGATTAAGATCAAACCCAGGAGCCAAAGGGGAATTTAAAAGCCTCTCACATTCCTGTCCCCCTTCTTACAGAAGCACACAGCCAGTTAGACCACCTGCGGGGAAGCTGTGGTTACTAGTTGATGAAAACGCCCACATTTTTTCACGTGAAACAATTGTCCTTATTGATTCTTATTCGTTTGTGTTCTACATACTCTTCCCGTGATTTATTTACTTGTTTTATTTATTTATTTATTTTTACTGAATTATTTATTTATTTTTTATTAAATCATAGCAGTGTACATTAATACTATCGTGGGGTACAGTGTACTGTTTCTGTATACAATTTGAAATACTTTCATCCAACTGGTTAACATAGCCTTCATGTCTTTTTCTTAGTTATTGTGTTAAGACAACGTTTATATTCTACATTTAGAGAGATTCACATGTACCCTTATAGGATGAACCATAGGCGTGATCCCACCAATCACCCTCCCTCCACTTCCTCTGCCCCCTCCCCTTTACTTGTTTTAAACACAGCCTTGATGTTGCAAGTAAGTGCAGTTAAAATCCAGTTCCTGGGTGCCACTGTAGGGTCTGTTATTTTTAGCAATAAAACAATCTTCAATTATATAAAGAGAGATAATTCCTTAAGAAATACTTGAGTAAAAGCCTTGTCCTTAGCATTTCTTACAATGCCCCGTAAGAGCAGAATTCACCAGCCCCGGGGAGCTGAGGTGCGGGCGTGCTGCTGGGGAGCTGGTGGGGTGGAGAGCAGCGCGAGGCAGGCGAGACATACACACCTGGGATTGGAACAGAGGCGGTCCCTGTGGGACACGCCTCCCCCGCAGGTCCTGGAGCACGGGGACCAAGGAGACCAGTCTGACCAATGGCCATGGGTGGGCTTCGGGCCTTCATCACCATACTTCACGCACTGCCCTCCACGGCACCACTGAAGATTTGAAAAATACATGTATAAACAAAGTTTACTTGACTACTGCATATGGCGGTGGGTTGGTTTTCATCCCTACCTACTGTGAGTGTAAGGCCGAGTAGTGGGAAATTTCCTCAGATCGGCAGACATCAACATCTCTAGCCCCAAGTAGCACCCAGTCAAAATACAGAGCAATAGGTCGCTGGCTCGGTGCCTGTGGCTTAAATGGCTAAGGCGCCAGCCACATACACCTAAGGTGGTGGGTTCAAATCCAGCCCCGGCCTGCCAAACAACAATGATGGCTGCAACCAAAAAATAGCCAGGCATTGTTGTGGGTACCTATAGTCCCAGCTGCTTGGGAGGCGGAGGTAGGAGACTCTCTTGAGCCCAGGAGTTGGAGGTTGCTGTGAGCTGTGATGCCACAGCACTCTACCCAGGGCGACAGCTTGAGGCTCTGTCTCAAAAAAAATGTTGCCTTCAGAAGAGTAAAGTAAAGCTTCAGATAGTCACTGATGTTGTAGGATCAGATACATCAACCCACTGATATTTGACCATTGTTTCAATACCACCTCAAACTGTTCAAGTGTATACTACTTAAGGAAGAAAAATTGAGTTTAAAAGCATAAATAATTGTGAGGACTAAAGCCTCATCCATTCAATGACTAGATTCTTTCCTATGAGCAAAGCAACAGTCTCTCCTGCACCCCCTACCCCTGTCCCAGGTGGAGAGCCAAGTCCGCAGCTCTGCTCAGCTTAACCAGGGGCTGTGGCCGGGAAGAGGCGCCTGTTCTGGGAGGGCCCCTGAATGAGGGAAGGGACAGGGATGGGGCCAGCTCTCGGGCAGCACACAGGGCCACCAAGGGATGGGGAGGCCCAGAATGTGCTTGTTATTGTTGTTCATTGTTTTGTTTTAGAAAATCACCTGGTCCTTGCTTTCTAATGCAGGAGATTCCAAACCTGAAAGTGAGAATCATCAGCTGGATAACTCAGAAAGCATTTCTAGGAAAATCTATCTTGATTTCAGGATGAAGGACAGAATTTGGAGCTCTAAAAGGAAGGCAGGTAAGTGGAAGGGGGGCGTTCTGTCTTGAAAACAAGCATGTTTAATCTCTCAAATTCACTGCTTTTCCTGGGAACCTGTGAGCAAACTCAGTGTAGGTGCTGACATTTAGGTCATAGACACTCAAAGTGGTAGTGACAAGGTGACAGTTTTGCTGTCTCTCTATACAATAAACTTTTCAAAACAGAAAATCTCAGGAATATACACAGCAGCAGGAGACACCGCATGGCTCTCTGGGAACCAGCCCTGGCTTCAGCAGTCACCAGCTCTCGTCCGGTGTGCTCTCTCCAGCCTGCCACCTTCTCTCCCCCCAACACTGACTCCCTGGAAAAATTTTAGGCAGCAAGGATATCGTGTGCTGTGGGAAGTCAGAGAAGGGAAGGAAGGGCTTTTGTAGAACAATTTGGACTTTTGAGGAAGGCAGTTTTCTTTTTTTTTGGACAGAGCCTCAAGCTGTCCCCCTGGGCAGAGTGCTGTGGCTCACAGAAACCTCCAACTCCTGGGCTCAAGCAAGTCTCCTGCCTCAGCCTCCCAAGTAGCTGGGACCACAGGTGCCCGCCACAACGCCTGGCCATTTTTTTGGTTGCAGCCATCATTGTTGTTTGGCGGGCCCGGGCTGGGGATTCGAACCCGCCACCTTAGGTGTATGTGGCTGGCGCCTTAGCCACTTGAGCCACAGGCGCCAAGCCTCATTTTGCTTTTGACATTTGCCAACTACTTTAATAAAACTGCAAATCACTTAAAAGGTTTACATTTTTTTCAACATTTAGGGCTTCTCCTTTCACTTTTTAGTATAAGGAAATAGTTGCACCAGTTAGCATCGCTTTTCCTTTGGTGAATGACAACTTGCCACATAAAGTGTTTCCCATCCACGTTTCCACTAAGCTGCTCACCTATCATTTCACAGAGTACAGCCTCGCCCCTCATTCCTATCCACAGCTGGACTCCGCACCAGCACACGTCAGGCAGTGTCCCCATTTCACCCCGGACTTCTCATGGGGTGTGCACAGGGGAACCTGGTCCTAGAAGAGGTACTGGGAGGGTGGCAGGCTCCCACAGGGGTGTTGTGAAGGCGAATGGATGGGCCATATTGGCATTAAGAGGTGAAACAAATACCAGTCAATATCAACTCCTCTCGCCCCCACCATGGGGCCTCCATAGGAGCCTCAGCAGTGGAGGGAGATGAGACCGCATCAAGGGGAACAGGACAGGGACACTGTGTACAGGGGTCTGTATATGAGACTTGGATGCGAGAGCTATGTGGCCTGGACAGAACAGCTGGCCACTCTGCCCAGGGCTCATCTGTGTAATCTGTAGGAACCTATGAAATCCTAACACATCCTAATTCTTTTCAACATGAAGGCAAAAGGCATATTTTAAATACAAGGGAAAATAATTTAAATGCAGATGAAAATTTACTTAATAGCACTTTCAAGGTTAATACCACGTGACAGGAACATGTGGGCTTTTTTGAGGCACATTGTAACTGTGTCACCCAGGAAAAAACAGGATGTGACCAGAGAGAAAGGCGGGTGCTAGGAGACCACCCACAGCCCCCGAGTGGGAACTCAGCGCAATGGCAGAACGCTGGCCAGCCTTTCAGGAAATAACGTTCTCCATATGTTTTATTCAGTTAAGGGCAGAAAAACATGATTCTCTGCAGCACAGCCCTAAGTCAGTCACCTCACATCCTTGGCCTGTCAGAATTTTTACACGGCAGGATCTCAGCAAACTCCTTTTCTCTTCTGAGAAACTGAAATATTTTAATCATACTTTTTTTTTTTTTTTACTAATTAACTGAACTATTGCTGCCTATGTCACTAAAGGAATTCAATTACCAATCTCACTCCTGGACTGAAAAATAAGGCACATTAATTAACAAGAGGCCTGGAAGGGATCGGGGCGGTGCTGTTCTCCAGCGGCCCCCCCTGCCCTGTGCCTCTGCAGTCAGCATCGCCAGAATTTAACGGAACACTTGTCAGCACCGCTTGTCAACCTCTGAGATTTCTTGTGTCTTGACTCCCATCCAGATATGTCTAGGAAGCACTTTCTCTGGAGTTTAAACACAAGAGATGGATGGTATCTAGGAA